ACTAGATTAGATACTATTAGAGAAGCCAAGAGGGTGCCAGCCAGGAAAAGTTGGAAACCACTGATAGGTATTAAGAGCAAAGCAAATGTTCTTCGTGGGATGAGAGTCAGTAATATATGGTGATAATTGTAATCTCTGAAATCTGTTAGAATACATCAGCAAAAGCCATTGGGGAAGCTAACAAGCAGTATAGACTTTCCTAAATGGTGCAGCAGGTCTTTAAAAATTAGCTCTTGCTCCAAGTTGCCTCCATTTGTTCCAAATATATGCAGGCAATCCGCGGGGAGAGCAACGTGTTTCACAATACGGCCGTTTGTCTCTGCGATGGTCATCAATAACGACCTGGAGTCTCGAATCCCGATTTTCGACATCGGCATGTGGAATGTGTTGTAGTGTAAGGTCTATGTAGGAGGACCACAAAAGCCCTTCAAGGAGTGGCATTTTCATTACCAACAAATCACGTAGCTGCACAAAATTCTAACTTGTCCCATGCGGATCCTGGTCACACGGCCACAAGACTACAGCCCAAGTTCATCAGCTAAGTGAGCAAACATGCCTAGCACTATTAGGGGACGCATAGCCCTTCTCACAGAAGTAAACTGTTTCGCAAAAGTGTCAAAAAATTAAAGCAGATATGGCTGTAATCTTGGTTAGCAAGAACAGAAATAAGGAGTGTTTATTATGATTTTAATATCTTTTCAAAGTATATAAATGTAAAATCAAAGATAATCAGTCTGAAAATACTAAACTGAAATATATAATATATATATATATATATATATATATATATATATATATATATATATACGATAGATATAATTAATATTACGTAAACAATAAAATTCATAAATTCACAGTAGTTTTTCCGCTGTTTTACACGCTCGCTTCCGAATCATGTCGATCATGTGCTGAAAACCTGCCCCTGGACCTGTGAATTCGTGTGCGCCAAAGGAGTCAGTGCACGCCATCAGTCAATTGTTAGTGATAAAGCGATCATTTGACAACAGATTCTTTTGACGGTGAGCAAAGAGGATTCGAACGATAGCCATCCCTCTCTGCCAACTCTTCGAAACTATTGAAAAGACTATTAAGCCTGGGTGCTTGATGGGCTGAAGTCACGCTTGGCAACTATGCGGTTTGTGCAAAGCTAAACTTTCTGAAGGCTGCTGTCCATCATACCGGTCGAAATAAGTAAGGTCTCGCCATATTTACTCCTAAACCTGTCCAGTCTGCACATCAACACGGCCCTCCATTCCCACCCACACCGCGGTCGGGAGAACATCAGCTCCTCGAGTCCACCGGATATCGGAAGAGGTCAGATCTGTCTTGCCTGATCCGCCATCCCTGTTCGGTGGGCGGATGAAGTAAATTTTATCTGCACTGTATTTGGTAGCATTTCGATTCAGTATATGATTGTTTGTCGGCCATGTGTCCGTTTGGCAAAATGATTGTCGACGAAATTGCCGATCGGCCAATAATTCGGCGGCTAAATGCACTTCGGCGAAAAGACATTCAATAAAAAGCCCTATAGCAACACACATACACGTATATAAAATGTGTGTGTGTGTGTGTAGAGAGAGAGATTTGCGTGTACGTGTGTGGAAATATGGCCGCAATAATACCAAATACAAAAGTTGTGGATGCTTTATGAATATGGTCGATCACTTTGGTCTTTTCAGTTTTCAAAAAGGATGGAAAATAATGATTTTAATGGTTATATTTTCACTAAACAATCATCAAAATAGACGCCATGACACCTCGGGTTGCTACTGATCTAGCCTTCCCTATCACCCCATGTCAACGTAAACAATGTCCATGTAAACAAGGTGGGTCCAAGAGAACAACCGAACGCTCCCATACATTATTATGAATAAATATCATCATATTGAGGAGACGTACTGTAAATCAGAACATTCATTAATAATCAAGTATTTTTCTTAAAACAATCTAGTATAGAATAGTGGTTTCCAACCTTTACTATTCTGCGTCGCCGAATTTTTTTTAATCTCCATGGCTCCCCTGTTCATCTCATCGTTTCAGAATCAGTTAATACTTGTTATGAATAATGTGATGGTGGCAATAGATGCAGAATGAGAACACTATATGGAAAGATTCCAGTTCATTGATATGTGAGTAATAATTATCTGGAGGTACTACAGTGCATTAGAAAAATTGGGTGAAAATTGGATTAGAATAAGGTGATGTGGTTAGATCAGACCTCCTGGCAATAAATCTACTGGTTTATAATGAGTTTCCCTGACTTTTTTCCCTTTGGTGAGTCGGTTCGTTTTAAGAATGGTTTTATGAAAACGCGGTGAGTGTGTGAGATCAGACACAACAGATCTGCAGGAAAAATAATATTCTGAAACGCACAAAATGCTCAGAAAAAAAAGAAAAAAAATTGTTCGCTGCTATAAGACGAACCTTTTAATTCGTATTCATACACACACATCTCTGTATTGAGAGTAATAAATCATGGATATTGTCATTCTGAGCTCAT